CGCAGATGGTTGACTATTACTTCGATAAGGGAGCGGCCGTAATCGAGCCTAAATTAGTCGAGGAAATGAAATCAAACTCGATGAGCACGACTGATAAGAGAAATCTCGTCGATGGAATTCTGAAGAACATCAAGCCCGTTAGCAAGGTAGATTACTAGTATTATTCTTGTAGAGCACCTCAACTCGGTTCCCCTTAGCATCGGGTTTGAATGAGCTCACAACAGTCTTAAGCTAAGAACATGTGTTGTACCCATAATCTATCATAAAGTATCGAATAGAGCGAATTTAGCATGCACGCGTCCTTCTATCTGCGATGTGCTTAAACCTATTCTAGAATATTGATTGACATGAGTGATAGCTTGTTGTAAGCGTGGAGATATAAACTGTGAAATAATCAAAATTCTAGTGAAAAATGAATCAGTTTTGGTGATATACAGTGGCCCCTCAGGACTAAGCCTTGGAGAGCACAGACGAACAGACGCCTGCGCCGCCGCATGGCCCCCCTCAACTACGCTAGCACCTCATTTTTTGTTGTTTTTTTTTCGGAACGTTTTGGCTTTAGATAAAATTATTCTGACTAAATTCCTCGGAATTAGTTGATACGCCATGAACTCAACAAGGGTCAAAATTGCATTCCATTACGATGTGTGCGTGACTTCAGTTGAGGACTTTGGTGACATTTGAAATGGTATGTGTATAAGCAATGTCTTCAAAAACCTGGCGATTAAATTTATCATCAGGGTAAGTTTCGATTCTTGAGTCAACCCGCGAAAAACAGAGGGAAGCTTGTTGGCTGCTTTGGGTGCCACACTGGGCATAAGAATAGGCATAGGCCCTGGAGTCAGGTGATGGTAGCGATGCCTTCAGCAACAGACCGTGTTGCGCTCATTGAAAAACTGACTGATAGCTAATAACGAGAAAACTCGGAAGTTACTGTTACTATGAACTTTGACTTTAATGTTTGAACAGACGAGAACGGAGTTTCCACTGGTGCTCTCAAAGTGCAGCTGTTTTTTCAATGATATGGTGCTTACTGTAATCGCTGAACTGAACGACAACCCTTTCAGGTTCTATACATCACCTTCCCGATTCGTCGTGACAATGGCGAATATGAAGTGATCGAAGCGTGGCGTGCTCAACACTCTGAACATCGAACCCCCACAAAGGGTGGTATTCGTTACTCACCGGATGTGTGCGAGGATGAGGTGATTACAGGGTCTAATCTGATCCATTCAGCACTGTTTGCTTTGCTCCCATGGCATCCGCAGTAGGGGGTCGTATTGGCTTGTTAGCTGATGAAGGTCGCACAGGTGTGATCATCTTGGGAGGGGTTGCCAAGAATTTTTTCAGAACCCTTCCATTAATCTATATGCCTCACCTTCCCTCTGTTTCTATTCTCCACTGGGCAGAATGCTTTCAAAAAAGAACCGGAAAAGGGATATTGGTGAGAAGGGAATTGGATCTTTAGAGAAAACTGTTGTGACCCCAGGTTTCTCTTCATAGCCTTCAAGCCTGAAGCCATCTTCTGAGCGGAGTCAAGCTCAGCCAATACATGTTCCCCATCGCGTGAGTCCACGCCAAGGATTACTCGATGGAAGGTATTTACTAGAGCTACCGGGAAGAGAGACCCTACTAATCCCTTCCCTCTTATCCCTTTTATCGAAATTTTCGGAAGTTCTCTTGTGCTACGCCCCTCCGGTCTATGAATAATTTGGGGAAGTATAATAGTTCGGTATAGTTCAGTCAGAACGAAAGGGATGGGAGTATGTAGGACGGTGAAGACGGCAGTGAGTGGTGGGACACTACGGCGGAAGTGCTTACCGTCTGTTGCGCAAGATACCGAGGGGGTCCGTTATATGGCTAATGGAGGAAGGGAAATTTAGCCTCAAGTCACCGTCACAAAATTTGGAGGTACCAAGGCGGTGGCACAAAAGCGGCCAAAAGAGGACACTCCTTCAAATTACTACTGCCGACTTCTGATCACAACAAGATGGAACGCATATTTCAGGAGCAGGAAGACGAGTGTATCACTTGTATCCCACATAGATTGACGGCAAGCACATTTTTCTCAGGGAAATCCCCGTTGCTTACGGACCAGACCAGAGGGGTAGGAAGTGGTTGGCGGGTTGATTTCTCACAGCTCTAATATAATTAGAAGTCTTGCAAAAGAAGTTTTCTCTTCGAAAGCTTGTTAAGAGAATAGCACATACTCTAAAGCAGTGAGCTTGTGATTCAAAGAGATTTTACCGCTTATCACACTAATATCCAGTTTTGAAAGAAATTGGCGTTTATGTTGAAAGTTCGCTTTGCTGGAGATTGGTTCCTGAAAAAAGCCGATAGAGGAAAAAACGGAACAATGGCACGACTTTTCGAAGAATTGAGCATTTGCGCCAGTTTAAATACTTTCCGGAAAAAACACAATTTGAAGTTTCGAAATTTTCATATCTAATTTCGTAGGAACGATAATGAAGAAAGATATATGCTTTTGAACAAATTTGTAATTGCATCAATATACTTCCAGGCTCACTTTTTCACTACATAGAAAAGCAAGATTTGAAGGTTAGGAGAAAATCTGGTGAATCTCCTTGAAAGTAGAGGTTTTGCGCGATGACAAATTGCTTATGTTCATGCGAAATATTGGAAGTGTCATCTGATAAATACAACTTCATTGCCTCGACTCCCGCCCAAGAGGGGGAAGGCTGGGGGTACGTCTTACTGCCCACTACCCAGCACCTCTTTCCATGTCGATGACGCTCAGTATAGGGCTCGTACATTGATGGTAGGCATAAAGACACGTAAAAATCAGTAACCTGTTAACAGAAGGGGAGGGGTTAGTACTAATACCCTTTGAAAGGGGAGGGGAGGTTCGTGAAAGCTTGCTCAACGCATTGACGACCCTGCTTGGAGGGAGAAGGTATAGCCTTGTTGGGGTGTGGGGGGGGGGAGATCGTGATGAGGTGAATTAGCCTGATTATCTCGCACGCTGGCCATGCGTTGCTTTGCCGGCTGGCTGGCATGTTGACCGTACCTTGACTTGTTGATTTCTTTGCTCCACTTCACGCAATTTTATATTCAGGTTAAAGCCTTGGCGGCCCTGATGACATATAAATGTGCCGTTGCCGATGTTCCATTCGGTGGAGCAAAAGGGGGCGTTAAGATCGATCGCAAGCATACAGTGATTACGAAATCGAAAAAATCACCCGCCGTATTGCTATTGAATTCGCCAAGAAGGTGAGTGACGATTGTACACTTTATCTTCCCATCACCCAGGAACGTTGCATGGCCTTCGCAATAGTTTTTTGACCTTCCAAAGCCGTTACATAATAATGGGCAGAGCTCTCGAAGTATAATATTAGGTACCGGATATCTTAGTGTCGCTTTTCTGAGTTCAGGAAGTTTTGGGGCCGATTACTATGGAAAATCAATATCCCAGAAGGCAGTTTTTGCTCATTAATACTGCGAAATATGTTGCTTATTGTTTTCTATTGTTGGTTCACAATTTAACTTTCCCCAATTTTTATACTTTTTTCTGAAAATTCCTGGGTCCAGTGTGCAAATTCGCATGTGTGTACCAAATGCTTCAAAATTCTTGCTGAGAGCTACAACCTCCGCCCACCAAACCACATTGCATTTGTTGGAGGGAATACTACCATTTAAAATGCTCATCGGTTTTTCACAGTTTTCTTAAAAGACAGTAAAGTCTTTGAAGGGATGCCCGCAACCGTCGCCAAAAAGGTGGTCCTAGCTAAATCAGTCAAAACGGGGCTGCACCAGTCTTGTGCTGGAATGGTAGGACACCCTAGCAGTTACTGATCGATGGTGCACAGACGCTCTAACGAAGTTGATTGACCAAGAAATTCTAATAAATGTGCTCATCTGCTACTCACGTGTGCTCAAAAAGGGTGCGTTTTTGACCCTATGTGGCAAAAAAGACTCCGGGAAAAATTGTCCAGTTGAGCTGGTAAGTAAATTTTCCACCATACAGTGCAGACCCTACTCTAACTAAATGTATACTTTTGTCCAGGCCTAACTTTTAGCAAGTGAGAGGGATGATTTGTCAGATGATGTCAAATTCGACCTACCTCTCTTTTTCGTCTCAAAAAATTCCTAACTTTAATCGTACGAGGTTTTCACTCATACTGGTAAATGGGAAAGGGCTAATGAGTCATTCGATGGATATGCCGTTTCACTCACTGGATTTTGAATTAAAATATTGGTGGTCCGAAACTCGCGGTGAAAAAACGACACTAAGATATCCGGTACCTAAATAGTATACAACAGCCTCTATGCTCCCCACCAGCGCGGATTCACTGTTACCGTAATCTGTGTTAGCATTTGTGCGCGCAACAAGGGATGGCAGCGTCCTTCAAGCGACGCAAGCATCACAGCATTATTTCGCCCCTTTTCGTATGTTGAGGCAATTTGCAAAGCCAGCAATTGCTGAATCAGTTCAAGTGATAGAAGCATTGCAAATCTGCAAAATTTGTTGGCTATTATCCTGACATTGACACCAAATCAAATTACACCTCGAGTGATGCACGTGAAATGAAGTGAAATGAAACGAATCTATCTAATGTAATGAAGTGGAGCATTCCCGAATCGTAGTACATTGAAGCAACAACTTTGCTTTTGTATTGGTTCTTTAGTAAAGCACCAAAATGATAACATCAAGATTGGGAATGTGCACAATCTGTCCAAAAATGTAGCGGTCTTTGAGGTTCTCACTGTTCCCACATTTACGCCTTCCTCCACTTCGTTTTCTTCTGACTTTAAAGATCCCATTTTGAAAATCCAGTTTATGCCCCGCTTTTGTTGGCTTACGTATCAAAATGGATAAGATCCCGCTGAGAAGCATTCAGATTCACAGCCGCGAAAGAGGCAGATCTGAGAGATATACTGTATTGCAGAATTGCAATTCATCTCTGTACTGCGGCTCTGCATTGGTGATACGCGTTGTTGTTTGGAATACATCGAAGACAGAATCTTGGTATTAGCTATCGTTCCTCTACTATGCCCCACACATTCGAGCTCAAATAAGAACGGTAGAAGCACTTTAGTTGATTCTGGACTTGCACGGCACACATGTGACTAGCCAGGGTTTCAACCTCACAGACTTCTGACTTATTGAGCGATCGCGAAGGGATGAAAGACTTGGCTGAAGTTCGGTTCGACCACGAATGGCGCTCGGACCGCCTGCAGATGAGCAACTCTCCCTGCCATTACATGATTTCCGCCTCAGCAGTGCAATGAAGAGCAAAGTTCTATAATTCCACTTCCTTTATAATTATAAATCACTCTTTGAAGAGCAGAACATCAAACTGAAAGCGTTTTGAAAAATGTGCAGACGTCAGTGTTTTATTAGGTTGTCCTGAAAGTCTTTGCCCATTTTTCATGTGTATGTTGTGGAAATCTCCAGGGATAATTTTTGAACATCCATTGTAAAACGTATGTGAACCTCAGTCGATGATCTCTCCAGAGCATCTCTGCCGTGGTATTTCGCAGCGATTATGGCTGAAAAACTCGACTTTCACTGAAACCATATTTGGCTACTCTTGATTTTGAAACCCAGAAAACGCGTCAATGGAAGCGATGCGGCAAGAGCCTTTACGTCTTGCGATGGAGCTCCAGAGTGTCTTTCACGACATGGCAAACATTTGGTTGCCGATGTCCAGAAACTCAAGAAAAAAGCCCAAAAATCGGTTGGCTTGTTACCCTGAGTGACGAGTGTCTTCTGGAGTTGTCTGGAAACAGTCTCTGGTGCAATGCACACTAACTGACACAGCTTTACTGCAGTCATCATAACACAATAGCCATTCCTCAATAGCTTCCTCAAAAAGAAGAGAAATTATGGAAAAAGGGGATTTCGTGATCTGGGTGACAACCGCCATCAGAACCCTTCAGATTTTGCATGAACATTTTGATTTACCGGCTGTATCTTGTTTGACCCGACTACTTTGTTAGTGGTAGCAAGGAGTGGGTTCCTCAAGTAAACCACACCCGCGAGCGCCACTGGCTCAGACGCGTAGAACCAGAGATTCCGACATCAACTCCAGCACTGCAACTTGAGAGGCAACTTTCAGACTTGGTAAAGCTGCAAGCGATCCGTTGCCGACAGCTCCTACCAACGAACCTCACTGCTGTTGTAGTTCGATAATGTGGGCAAGCGGATGGGATCTCATGCACTATGCGTAGAAAACATTACAAAGATCACTTCATCCGAGCAGCGATCGTCAAGGAATTTCGAAGAAGGTCCACCAAAAGTCTCCAAGCCCCTCATGGGATGTTCTGTCCCACCATTTGTGTTAAGCAGATCCGGCCCCAACAGAATAGCGTCTGCTTTCTATTACTGGCCTCGGTGGGACAGAACATCCCATGAAGGGACTTGGGAGACTTTTTGTGGACCTTTCTCCTGAAAATTGCTGACGATTTATATAAAGAGGGAGAGCTTTATGTTCCGGACTACTCGAAAACGGACTTCCTCCAGTTTTTTGCCTTGAAAGCTCAGGACTTCTAGGCAAACGGCATCCACAAGTCACCTGCTGAAAGGCAATATGTTGACGATTACGATGGGGCATATGACTGTAAATTGCTGACTGGGCTAAAGAAGAAAAGTGGATTTGAAAAAAATCGACAAATGGGCAAAGACTTTCAGGACAACCTAATACATGGTAATCACACGAGCTACTTTTCGGTGTGTTGATGTGAATGTTGTTATATAAGATGCCGTTAATGTAGAGCAGCTACCAGGCCGCTCTGTTTATTCTTCTATATTTGCAGAGAAATACAATCAAACTAGTCATCGTTTAGGGATTCCTCGGGCCTGGTGTTGACGTGCCAGCACCCGATATGGGAACCGGAGAGCGTGAAATGGGATGGATCGCTGACACTTACGCACATACAATCGGACACCTCGATAGGGTAATTCAGAAGGTTGTTGGATGTACTAAGCTTTACATAAGAATGAATTTAGGATGCGGCTGCTTGTACTACTGGAAAGCCGATCGTCGCCGGTGGTATTCATGGACGTGTTTCTGCAACAGGTCGAGGGGTTTGGAAAGGTCTTGAGGTGTTCATCAACAAACCGGAGTTCATGAATAAAGTAAGCATTTATCTTGAAGGAAGCGATTACGATAAAGAGGGAGCGCATCGGGAAGCATATGCACCACACGAAGCAGTTACTTGGCTGCCAAGAAGCGAGGTGTAGCGCTTTCACGACGAAAGGTGCGCTGGTTGCTGAGCAGGACTTCGAAAGCACTCCGCCCCCAAAAGCGATCCGCCCACTAGTTTTGGACGAGCTGCGTTGCCAGCAGCGGCACAACTGGAGCAACTCGATTGGAGCGTGGTTTGGCATGGTGCCACCAAACGCGTTGCGTGAACTCGTTCATACGTCCGCTTTCTGAGCTGTTACCTGTTCATGAGTGAAAACCAACGGCCAAAAAGGGGTCCCGTTTTGCGTTTTCTTGACGGATTTCTCGCTTTTCGCCACTGGCGTACCACTGAGCACCATCTCGTTCCCTCCAAACCCTGTGACATGGAGTCACATTTGTAGAGACTATCTGCTGAGTGCAGAAAATATACGGATGTATTATGAAAAATACGAGTGCAAAGAGACACTGAACTGCGAAAAAAACTCACTAGAACTTAACTTCAAGTCGGAATTTGCTTAACCACTATCGAGATGAGCTCTAAATATACTGATGTTTGTGGGTTTCCATCCTACCGGGAAGCCTAATCGGACTAGAAGGTTGACGATGTTTTTATGTTCTCAGGTGTTGCCGATGGCAAGCGGAGACTCAAACTCCGAATGTTCCAGAAAGTGGTGTCCAAAGATTGAAGAAATCAGTAGTTTTGCCTATACGGCATGAGACTTTGTGCCCTTGATAAGAGTCCCCAAATGTTCAACAGCCATTTGAACCTTCTTCCAGAAATTAATGGCAAAACGGAATTGCGTCGATTAGTCGCACCTGACATTGGTCGATTGGCAAAAAAACCAATAGGACCGTTTATGTAGCACTCGGCAGCACATATGTGTTGCATTGGATCTGACATATTTAGATTGGACTTTCATGCGGATTGGAAGGAAAAACCGTTATTATCCAAGGTTTTGGTAATGTGGGACTCCACACGATGCGTTATTTGCACAGGTACATTTTTTGATGAAATCTTCTCCTTCGTGCGTTAGTCCGTCCAGGTCCAGCTCATAGCGAGCAATCAGTGTTGGACGTGTCGCATAAGTTGACCCCCTCTGCTGAATCGAGGACTTGGCACGACCCCCCTAAAACAGAGCATACGCAAAATTACAACAGCCGAGTGTATCGATCAACGGTCGATTCAACGGCAGCTGCGGCGCGATTTGTCCCTGGGTCAGATTTGCTGAAATCCCGAAAAAAAACCGTCGAAATCTACACCCTCGATGAAAAAGTTCCATTCCTCCATTTCCCAACCTTTTGAACAGCACGCGGTAGGGTTAGATAGAGCTGGATTTGATAGTAGCAGGCCAGTATTGGTATTGCTTATGAAAGTCTTCCATTCGAAGAGATATAGTCCCTCAAAATCCGTCGAGGGAGCGTCGAGGATGCTGAAATTTTTATGCGAGTTTTTGCCACTTAAAAAGCAATATCTCTCCAATTTGCAAGATCTCGAAAACGAAGACCAGTTGGAAAGCGGAAGGTTCGCGCTTTCTAATAGTACAATTAGCTTCCTTCTACATCCTCTAATTTGCGTCCGTGGATTTGTGGATCCATCGAGGGTGATTCTCAGCAGCTCAAAAAGCGCTCCCTTTACCCAGCTGCTAGTGTACATTCGTTGCAACCGCTCGAAAAATAGTGTCTAAGAATATACATTCTTCCAACCATGTTGTATTAGAAACCGAAGCAAATCGTCCAGCCATCGTTTTTGTCTGGGAACGCTCCCTACGAAATAACGACCTTTGCTTTGAACCGCAAAAATTGACGCGGCTAACCAAAAGCCTATAGAGTTGCTCTTGCCACGTGGATTGTACCGACACGATGCGACCTCAAACTTGGGTAATTAAACCTTTACTAAGCCAAAACAACAAATAAACATGAACAAATACATGGAGAAACTCATTCCCAAAGTTGGAGGTCAAAAACCTCCAAATCTTCCCAATTTGGACTAATCCCAGCAACTAGAAAATACAATCAATCAGAGAATACTCAATCGCCCGAAAGAGAGTTTTTGCCACCCTCAAAATCTTCCCTTTTTGCCTATTCCCCCAGCTAGAAGAGAAAAAACTGGAGCACGCCTCTCCATCAATCGCCCGAGTTTATATAGTGGCTTGATCTACGTTCCACGCATTCCAACTTAGAAAGCCTCTTGTGAAAATGCCGCCGGATCGCTGAATTACGTGCACACTGAAAAAAATTGCATAATGGATCGTCCATTAACGCATTCTTACTTTGCAAGCCTTCTGGGAAAGTGAACTATGACCCGGCGAAGACGTGCAAAACAGAAGCGGATATATGTAATCTCACTGACCATGAATCATCACACTTGCATAAATTGGTCGCTCTTTGCGACAGACGCCATGCATCCGACCTTCACTCGAAGTTGCAGAATCGACTGAAAGGTGCTATATGATCATGACCAAGATGCATTGTGGCACACATTTCGTAACCCTTCTAGCCTGAGGAACAGCTTCATTTACCCAGGGTCGTTCCTTCCCGCTTGTCGTTTTTGTGACAGCGTCCTTGAGATTAGTGTCATTCTCAACGAGGTATTAAGGAAGAGGGAGCTGGTGGTAGATGGAGCAGGTCTTTTGCAGCGCGTGTGCATTCATTCTTTGTACAGCTTTCAAATACGTCCTCCTCATAAAGGTAGAGGAATGGAGCGACTGAACCTGCAAAGGAATTTTTTATATAATGTTTTTTTTCACACCATTCGCTTTCTGCTGCGCTATCACCCTCCTACTCCTATCTTCACTACGATA